GAAATTACGTAGAAAACGTTTCTTCGTCGACAGCCTTCATATTGCACATCTCAAACCAACAAATAAAGAACGTCCATTTTTTGCGCGTAAATAGTAGAAAATCTCTGAGAGTGTCAGTCCTTGATCTTTCGGGTTTTAAAAGAATTCTCATCAGCTTGGTGGGATGAGTTGAATACAGGCCACGTCTGCTTCCATTCGTAACGCGCACCAACAGCTCGTGCAACGGAAGTGAGCCATGATTGGTTTAACTCGTAGCCTCGACGACACGTGACTTGCTGGCGAACACCTGCGTGAGATATACGCTTCAAACCTGTGCCTAGATTTTCGAAACGATCGTAGCATTAAAATTATCGTAAAGATATCGTAAGGAAATTGTAGGCTGTCGTAGCATATTTTCAAAATTATCGCTACAGTAATGACCGTGACCTCATTGATATGTCAGGGGCAGCTTATCTTAGTTCATACTCTAACTGAGAGTGGTTCCCCTTTGTATTCATTCGTTCGGCGATACCTTGCTCAGTGTTACAGTTTTCATAAAGCGCAGAGTTCCTCTGTTATATTTTCTTGAACGCATTTGTGACAATGCTTTAGTCTTTATTTTCGCATTTTATAAAATGATATCAATCTATATGTGTGACGAAGTGCAAAACCATAAGCGTTTCTCGTTTCTCGGTTTTACATCTAAAATGGAGTGGGACGAGCGGTTCTAACAATTAAATGTATCTTTACAGTGTAGTATTTATTGATTTAACAAGGAAATACATGTGATCAAATATGTGTATAGTATATTTATATAAATAGTATATTTGATTTTTTTTTCTAGGAAAAGTAATTATATGTTTCGTTTTAAAAACAACACCGAGGTTATCTGTATTATTGAAAGACAAATAGTTGATAACAAGTGATTAAATATTGTCTGTTGAATAATTGCATTCTTTAAAAACGGGTGATTAACGGCATAGATGTATTCCATCAAATATAGCAATTTATTGATATTTTGACCGCAAAAGTTAAGCACATATTTTTGCATCCTTTTTTCCAGATTGGCGATTTGAAAAATCAAGTAAAAACTGGGTTCCCATGCTCGTTTGGGTTAAGAATATCATCAAAAAGTAACATATTTTGAACACTGTCAAAAATTCATTTTCCAAAATAATTTCGCAGAAAATGTTTATTGAATGAAATTTACTGATCAATATAAAATAGACATTTTCATCACAATAATTTCGCATTCAATGAACCAATTTTAATATAATACTTGATGTTGGCCTTTATTTAATTTAAGTGTTCATTTACCCGTGTTATATTTTAAAAATATAGATACTTGAGACCATTTAGACAATAAAATCATTGTAAAGGATAGGGACACCGGACAAATACTTTCAAAAGACCCTCAGCATGCAATACTGTAAGACAAGCCTAACGTCATCGAACTACGCTCGGGAATAGATTTCACACATTTACAATGTAGATATTTCGCTCTTCAGCCAGATTTGAATCACATCAGACAAATCGGTTTATTAGCTGTACTTAATTTAAAAGGATAGAAAAGGACTACATTTATGTATACTCAACAACAAAAGTTCCTGTGTCACCAATATTTTAGTGTATTTTTCAAACAAATAAAGTTTGGTTTTCAATATTGTAGTACATGTATGGAATTAAGTCACCAAAACGCAACTGCTAAAGAAAAGCATGCATTCCATGCAAAAGTGGACTTTTATGCAAGCCCCATGCATTTCACTACCCAAGAATGGGTATAAAAACATGTGCGTTAACGGGATTCCATATGCAACGTTTAGCATCGTGTTGACAACAACCATTCAGAAAAACAACAAAATTATAACGTTTCTACACCGACGTCACAGACTGAGTGAGTGAGTGAGTTGGGTTTAACGCCGCTTTTAACAATATTCCAGTTATATCGCAGCGTGTCAGCTTAATGTGGGAGGTAAGCCTGAAGTGAAGCAGGTCTTAGACGTTTACCACTTCGGTGAAACCCACGAGCACGGGTATGATGCTGACAAACCTAGAAACATAATCTGTGCGAACCGGGATTCGAACCCACAATCACAGGTTTCTGACGTGCCCAATGGACGCAACTCTGCACAGCGAATCGCGGCGCCTAAGACGACTGGGCCACCCGTGCACCTCAAAGACTGAGATGGGCCAGGACTGTACAGCAGTGTACAGAGAAATTGGCGAAGTGTGCTCCAGCGACGAGAGTAGGTGCCAGCTCTTCAAGTCTGATGGGCGGGTTCGAATCTACCGACGACGTGGTGAACGGACGACATGCACGTTGTTGCATCCAAGAGGTGGAGCCTTATGGAGGTGGTAGTGTCATGGTCTGGGGTGGCATCTGAGAGGACCAGAAGACAGATCCGGTCATCATCGACGTAAATCTCACTTCACGTCGTAACATTGATGAGGTGTTGCGGCCTGTGGTACTGCCTTTCCTGCAACGACACCCACGGACGCTGTTTTAGCAGGACAACGCCACCCCTCACACAGCTCGAGTAACTAGCGACTTTCTGAACGCCAACAACGTGGCCGTATTACAGTGACCAGCCAGATCACCGGAACCTGTCGCCCATAGAGCACCCCTGGGACCAACAGGATTTGGAAACGTCAACAGTCGCCATTGACGAGGGATGCCTTGGCAAATGCCGTGCAGGAAGAAGCATAGGATCCCTAATCAGGATGTCGGGAGACTCGTGTCCTTTGGAGGGGGTCACATCCGATACTGAGCCATGTGTGCAACACGGGACTTTAAAAGAGATCGACGTCGATTCTGCGGGTGTGATCGAATACTGGATACGGTGAATCTTACGACAAGCATAGTCGCTATTTTCGGCAAGCATGGGTTGCTGAAGACCTATTCTACCCCGGATCTTCAAGGGTCGACTTTTGCAGTAAATACGAAATCAAGGAAAATAAAGAAAAGACCAAACTGTAGCGTTCAGAAGAGGAGGAATTTTACAAATGTCAGGGAAATGGCATTATAACAGAAGTATGTTACTTACGGTTGCAAAGCACAAGTACCTCGGAGTGATCTTTGCTTCTTCATTGTCATGGAGTAGATGAGGTGGTCGGGTAGCCTAGGGGTTAATGCGTTCGCTCGTCACGCCGAGGACCCGGGTTCGAATCCTGACATGGGTACAATGTGTGAAGCCCATTTCTGGTGTCCCCCGCCGTGATATTGCTGGAATATTGCTAAAAGCGGCGTAAAAACCAAACTCACTCACTCACTCATGGAGTAGAACTCAGTTATTACAGTTATCAAAACAAGCCATAAAAGCAACATTTTGTCTTTTAAGATCCATCCGAAAATACAGAATAGATCTTGAACTGTCCCTCTTTTGTATTTGACAAGATGGGTGTACCTATTTTTACCCATGGAGCTGAAATATGGGGATTTCAACATACAGATAATGTTACAGATATATGGATGAACAACTTCTTTATTCAAATTAAGTGCGAAGTCTCGGTTATAACACTTGTTTGAACCTATTTGTCTATTGCAATTTCCATGCTATTACCTATCAGTGCTAATTACCCCCGGTCTCCCGTCTATCCATTGCCTATTACAAATCAGTGATAATTGAAATCCTGGCTTTCAGTTGTCCAATGCTATCAACTATCAGTGCTAATTTACTGTTAAGTGTTGGCTTCCGTTTGTCCCTCGGTAATCACCTCTCAGGGCCAATTATCTGTTGGCTTCTTCCCTTGTTAACTTTCCACCTTTGTTATCATATTACTTTTGTTGTTCTTACATGTACATATATATGTTCTCTGCTTCATGCATTAATTCACCTGATGAAGGAGTAAGTACATACAAGGTTGTGTTCCTCATGATAAAGGGGGCGGTCGGGTAGCCTAGTGGTTAAAGCGTTCGCTCGTCACGCCGAAGACCCGGGTTCGATTCCCGACATGGGTACAATGTGTGAAGCCCATTTCTGGTGTCCCCCGCCGTGATATTGCTGGAATATTGATAGAGAGTTGTTTAGAGTGAGAGGAGGGTATCTTTGGATGCTCCCCAGTTAGAGCCAGTTAGGCATCTTAGCGTGTTTAGGTCTTTACTGCATTTAGTTGTTAGGTTTTGGATGTGGGCATCCCATAGGTTTTGGTTTGGTTTGTTGTTTTATACCGCCGTCAGATAAATGGAATATTACTGTGTGCGGCGTTAAACAAACAATCAAACAACTTGACTATTACTTTTGTTACAAACGACTTGTTAGACACACCACGGACTTATATAGGTCCGTGGACACACACAAGCTGTAACTTTCTATTTATGTTCACTTTGTATTTGTATTTGATGTAATATGTACAAACATATTATTTAAACACTGTCTATATCGATGACGTCACATCCTTCATTTCAATATGGAATATATGGTGTATGGGAGCGGTGTTAACATAAGCTGTAAAGCTTGTTCACCAATCCCAACTCATTTCAATGAATAAAAATATGTTTAAACCAAGATGAATTCTACCCCGGATCTTCACGGGTCCCAGATTTGATTAATTACCAGCCTGTCATATAGCTGGAGTGTGGTCCTGACTCATTGAGTGAGTGAGTGACTTCAGTTTTAGGCCACCTTTAGCAATATTCCAGCAATATCAGGGTGGGGTACACCAGAAATGGGCTTCACACATTGTACCCATGTCGGGAATTGAACCTGGGTCTTCAGCATGATGAGCGAACGTATGAACAAGGCTACTCGGCCTATCTGACTCAATGAACTACAGGCCTCTATCATATAGCTGGAGTGTGGTCCTGACTCAATGAACTGCAGGCCTGTCATATGGAATTGCATATAAGAGCATATGGTATTGCTCTTCTGCAGATGCAGGAACAATGTATACAAGCCTGTGAAGTATTAATGTCTGAGAGCAGGCACACCTGTCTACTGTCTTCAGTCCTGCTTAACTTCTGTAGACTAGCAACATTCACAGGCTCACTTGTTACCAACACAAATAAACAGGAAAAAACAAGATTATTCTAAAAGTATTTATTTCACAGATATGTGGGAATGGAGTGAAAGACAAGAGAACGACAGCAGTCTGTAGAGATAGGTAACATGGGGTAGCAGAAAGAGAGACAAGGTACTCATCATGTAACAGCAACACTGCCGCAGTGAGCTGTATGATGTCCCTTAGGCCACGAACAGATAATTACTTGCTTGTAGTCTACATCATGCACTTATCAAGGTAAGAAGCACCATGTATGCCATGAGAATGACAATCTCACTTAAATAATAAATCAGTTTCCAACTATACAAGTCCATGATTTCACTTCTTTGATAAACAAATGTATCTCATGAAAAAGGTTGAGATCAAATACATAATGCTACTATTTTCGCCATATATCCATCTATGAACATTTGAAGACACAAATAATAAGATTGACAAGCATCTTATCTACACAAAGATTTATATGGTTAAAAGTCATCCATTGAAAATGTACTTTTTGTCAGTTTTCAAGCTACACTCAGGACACTAAAGCATTTTACCACTTTGGAAACTTCCCATTGCTTTCCTGTAAAGTTTGCGTAACAAACATGTTTGTGTCAGCATCACTAATAAATTTTGTTTTTCTTACATGAACAAATACTCCCCCAAAAAGGGGTATGTTCATAAAACATGCACAAAATGTAAAAGTCTTATCAAATGAAGTTCTCATTCAAACAGTGGCATGTTCTTTGATACACTGAAAAATAAAAACAAATTTTTATGGCAATTTTCTTAAGTGATAAGTGCTTTTGATCCTTACATGCACCAACCTTTTTACTCCCGAGACACAATCGCCAATCAAAGAAAGCTAATGCACAGACTTATAGATATCCTAAGGACAACAAATTGTCTGTAGACATATTCATGGTAATAAAATAATTCCTCCCAATTATCTCGTCACCATGAGAAAACGGACAACCAACAAACAGATAATTAACTAGTCCTGGCCTAACAGAACCCCATCCCTTCATCAGCAGAATACAGAGCATGTTAATAGCTGCAAGGACACAGTGGGCCCTACCTTCACGACAGTTAACAGCAGGAAGAACCTGGCTTCCTATAGTGTGAATCTCAATGGTATTGGTAGACATCTACCACTGTAAGATGTATGTGCAATATGTTCTCACCGCCAAAAGAAACGCGATCCATAGAAACATATGGAGAAGTATTACGTTAAGAAGATGTTTTCAATGTGTACCACTTAATGACAAAACTAACAATCAGTCAAGTGTTACCACAGCATGTCTTTATTCTTATCACGATATCCTGCACATGATTTCCAAACTTTATTTGTTAACCCTCAACGAGACAAATAGTGGATCTATGGCGTCACATGTGAGCGTCGGTTCACACAACATACCAGTATGTTCGTTTGTGCATTGAACTAATCTAATCTCTCTTGAATACGAGTATTTCTTCATATATTAGCCACATGTATGGTATTCACGTTTCTTTTGTCAGTGAGTATATTTCAATAAAATATCCAGTTTTTATGGTTATGAAATGAAGTTTGTATGGTTATGAAATGAAGACAGATACACAATCACTGGCTGGTGAGAATTTTCCTCTTAAAAACTTCCTGGTATTTGAAATCAATCAAAGTACCTTGTGTTCAATGGCAGCGTAAAAGGATCATTCCCAACACCCAGTGCATGGTTCCTGGAAAAACGTGGGATAATATTGGTAAATCATGCATTAATGTTGTGATCCATAATAATTTGCATATCACAAAAACACCATTTCAAAACAGCTTTCTGAAATGCACTTTTCTCTATAATATTCATTAAGGCCCCATACAGCATCAAATATTGATTCACTCAAAAAGAAAGGATATTTTACTTACTAGACAGTAAAACCAATATGAACACATTAATTATTGCTGATCGAGACTACATAATTATATTAAATTATAGATAGTAGTCATAAATGAAGCATTCAATATGGCAAGCTTGACTACTCGGCTGTGCAACGTCACTAGAAAAAATGATTTGTACAAAAAGCAAGAAAGGTAAAATGACAACACAAACATGGCCACCCTCCGAAAATCGAAAATGAGGCTGTACGTCTCAGCACATACATCTGGTAATCAATGAGGCTCGGGAACAACTCCTAAACCCCAAAATATGTATACTGCATGCATTTATACATTTGATATTAAAATCCCCTTTAGGCTGACCTCAAATTATCAGTTTGTCAACAAATATTAACCCTGTATTTCAACACAACCAGCATGTTACATAATCATATACTTGATAAATAAATGTAGTAATAATTACTTATGGCTGTGGGTCTTTTCATGCATTCAAAAACAACCCTAGTGACACCTTGTTAAATGCTTGTGAAACCCTGTTAATCCAGATGGTAGTTCCAAGAAAAAATGTTTGGATAAACATATTTTCGGGTTATCAAATCATCGGTTATGAGTTACGTCCGTTTACTATAAATAGACATCCTCAACAGTATTTGTCCGGATGACAGGGTTTCCTGAATAAAGATTAACTGAACTGTACTGTGTCGCTGGAATAAATGCAAGACAGTCTGGTATGTCAGAATGTAAGTTCCGAAAACACAATGATTCTGTAAGGTTATAAAGTAACACTTTAAAAAAGTGGTTGAATGAACATCCAATCAACTTTTTTTTTAAAGTGGGAAAACAGATATACTAATCTGATGATAAGTTACTTCCTATCTCTAACAAATGTACTGACCAACAATGTGTATTCAATACATTACCATGACAAGGCCTGTGAGACCATCTTGGCAAACTATTCAGATAATATTTGAACAGAAAAAGTTACAATTATTACCGGTAATTATTACCACCTTAGCGATTTCAATAAGAATCATTGGCAATTCATCCCCAGTTCTGACCAACTGTAATCAGCAAGGCTAAACCCTGAACGACATCGCTCTCCTAGATAAAGTGAAAAAAATAAAACTCAATTGAATGGAATTTGTTTTGTCGAAAGTTACCAAAAGTCAACCAGACAGATGTATCGGTACTGAAGAGGCACCATTTATAGACTGGACAGCTACCATCATGCACTATGGTGTCAACAAACACATAAATAAAGCATCAGCGTGCAGCATTCAGATACCACAACGTCCCTATCTGCACATCCAGGGCCCCGTTCCACAAAGCGATCGTAGTGCTAAGACGATCTTAACTCCCATACTTTACATAGCCTTACGATTGTCGTAGCGCTAAGATCGCTTTGTGGAACGGACCACAGGGCCCTGTTCCACAAAGCGATTGTAGCTCTACAACAGTTGTAAGCCAGTGTTAAAGTATGGGAGTTACGACCGCCTTAGCGCTACGATTGCTTTGTGGAACGGGACCCAGTATGTTAGTTCTCCACTGACTTGACTGGACTCATCTAGGAATGTCCTGCATTCTCTACATGGGTTCCAGGCAACTTCAGCTCACACCGGAAAATGAAAGTATTTGTACAGAGATTTGTTACTGGGTTAATATTGCTAATGCATACATGTCCTCATCTTCTGCAACGAGGTGGGAAGTGTACATTTTACACAAACACATGGGAGCTAAGCTACGTGTGGAGCTAACTATGAGCTACACAGTCTAAAGCAGCCGTTACACATATTGAAAGTTCTCATGTCTTGAAACTCACAGGAATCTAATCCCAGCTCAATGCTTAGACTCCATGCCAAGGTAGAAACATGGTAAATGCCATATTGAGACCATACTTAATTTTGAGGTTTACTGTTCACTCAGCTAGGATCGGCTAGATCAAAATAAAAACATATTTAGGAGCACAATTTCAATGTTATTTGGCAAGGTCTTATTTTGGGTATGATGGATTTCATCTTCTTTATCTCCTGCGCTCACAGTACGGTAAACCTACACTTATCCCTGGATCCATCCCCTTGGTTCTCACGATCTCAAATGACCTGCCCTTGATTTTCATTAACATTTTACTGACCAATCAAACGTCAAATAACTCGCCAACCCAACATTGAGGCTGGATCGTAACTCATATTCTGATTGGTCCATTAGACTGGGTAGCATAGCAAATTAACTTTGCTGATAAAATCAAGGGCGGATAATTTGAGATTGCAAGAACAACGGGAATGGGTCAAAGGTTTAGTGTAAGTTTACTGAAATACAGGCCCAGGAGTAAGATAGGATGGCTAGTTTGGTGGTGAAAATACATGCATATTCGTCATGTTTATAGTGCAGGCAGGATGTTTGATATTTTAACAGTAGCACAAATATTTACTTCTGTCAGAGATAGTGTACTCTGAAGGTGTAGTGGCTAGATAATCTATATACAATGCATTTGATCAACAATAATTTAAAAAATGGGTGATCTGTTCTAATTTGTTCCAACAAATATCAGGAAAATAAAAATAAATTCAAACTTGTTCTTATGGTTGTCAAGTTTGTAAACCAAAAAAAACAGAAAAGGAGAGGCCTAAACCGGCTACAATCTGATGACACTGTGACAGGCACTGCAAAGACTGGCTCCTGCATCTCTACAGTTCTCTGTACATGTACCAACATCCTCAAAACCCAGGGCAGGGTTTCACCACTATGGACACATCAAATGGTCCTGACTGGAACAATATGGCAAGAAAAACAATCACTGTGAACGATTTCTATCTTTCTCTTCAGTAGTTTTGATCATATTTCAGTTCAGCAGTTGTGATCTTCAATTTCAAACCCCATCGTTGACACATGGAAGTCTAGACCACTGTAATTCTATGAGGTAGCTCTGACTGGGTCTATGTTCCATCTGATGTCAAGAACAAGTACATATCTAGTGCGGCAGTGCAACTTAACCTGAAACATTCATCAGCCGGGGACCCACCCCAAGAAGCAATCTCAGCACTGTGCCTGTCTTAGGTTTGTGTAGGGGAGTTAGGATCAGCTCAGCACTAGGATCACTTGTGGAATGGGTCCTGGAATAGTACAACAAAATAGGACACCCCCTAAAACGTCTGAAAATCTACTAGCACTCGGGATACCTTTAGTATCAGACAAACTGACCAGGGCCAGTGAGTTAGTGGCAAGTTGCATTCCTGCTACTGTCAGGATATAAACACAAAGTTACCCAGCTATACACAAGACAGACTGTGGGTGCCGTTGTCCAAAGCGATCTTAGCACTAAGGTGATCGTAACTCCCATACCATAACATTGATTAAAGACAGTCGTAGAGGTAAGGTTGTTTTGTACGACAGCCTGGAGATAAATATCAGATGCTGAATCACCAGATAATCCTGGAGACTAAGACCGTGACCACTCACCAAGATTAGTTGGGTGCATGTACAGGGAGGGGGTGGCGGCACAAGACATGAAACTCTACAACAGTGGAACCTACAGGATACTGTCAGTTGATGTATGATACACAAATATTGATACACGATTCCTTTATACCTTTAATTACTGCACAACACGGTAATGGTATTGCAACATGATTACTGTACAGGCAGGCAGTATTTACATCATTGTACCACTGACTAATAGTGGACAGTCCACACCACGGCCAGTCGCTTGAGACGTCGGCTGACACTATATACAAGGATGTCTGCAGGTCATGGCGGTGTGGCAGCATGTACATACAACACAAGAGCTCTGTACACACATGACACAAGAGCTCTGTACACACACGACACAAGAGCTCTGTACACACATGACAAGGGCTCTGCAAACACAACACAAGAGCTCTGTAAACACGACAAGAGCTGTCTTCTTAGTTGGACACAAACGGAGATGTGAAGAACTGGCGTGGTCTCTGTGTTGTGTTGTTGTGTCGAGATGGCAGCCTGCAGAAGAAAAAACAAATTGTGAAATTGACATGGAAGGTAAGTACCAATGCAGATATCATTCTTTCAGATCAGCCTATATAAGAGATCATATTAACAGAATGCAAATGATGCTACGTGTTCATTCGATCTCAGAACTAGTTGCAAACTAAATGTGTCTTTTCATTTAAGTCTTTATCAACCCAATCAGATTGCTCCCCTAAGCAGATACCAGCAAGCTCTCCAGACAAGAACCATCTCCATATTCATCACATATGACCCATCTCCACAGAACAAGCTCAGTGTGACCCTGCTATTTAGCCGAGTGCAAAGTTGGCAGTGTTCCAGCTATGACAGCTGCCTGTTATTTACTGCAACAACAATCAAATTATGAGCAACGTCCCATGCTGCTGGGGTAAGATGGCATGCAATGAACCAAGTCACTGATCCATTTAGTCACCTCTAATGACAAACCTCTTCTAACATGGACGATATTATGAGCAACGTCTCATGACGCTGGGTCAAGATGACATGCAATAAACCAAGTCACTGGTCCATTTAGTCACCTCTAATGACAAACCTCTTCTATGCCTGGTTGCGGTTGTACAAAACAACCTTAGCGCTATGACTGTCGTTCAGGTATGTGAGTTACGATCACCTTAGCACTAAGATCTCTTTGTACAACTGCACCCTTGACTCCCTGCAGGGGATTCAGCTGACGATCATGTTCTACAGACGCGAGTAATTACGTTTACATCTAAAACTGGTCTTCAATCAAAGAAAACACCTGTGTTTTTAAACAAGATGATCAATCGTGGCAAAAACTAGGTACTGTCGAATAGTTCTTCCCATGTTGGTTGATATGGTGATATGACAACAGGCCCAATGGTCATGGATCTAGAGTGTGTGAGTGAGTTGGGTTAAACGTCACTTTGAACAGTGTTCCAGTTATATCGCAGCGTGTCAGCTGAATGTGGGAGGGAAGCCCAAAGTGATGCACTTCGGTGAAACCCAGGAGCACGGGTATGGTGCTGACAAACCTAGAAACATAATCGGGTAGAACTGGGATTCGAACCCACAATCACAGGTTTCTGGCGTGACAACTCTGCACAGCGAATCGCGATGCCTCAGACAGCTGGGCCACCTGTGCCCACCCCATGGATCTAGAATGTTTCAATGTCTGGCAAACCATCAGTCAACCACCTGCTTTACACAGGCAACTGTTGACCTGCATTCCAGTTGCCCCCTGTAGACATGTTACACACAGGAGGGAGGGTGGGTATCAAGCGTAGGGAGCTGGGATGTCTGGAGCAAGACATACGTAAAGCTGGGGGAAATGTTTAGCAACTCAATAATGCAACCAATATACACACAAATAACTTATTTCTCCACTTTATGTTCTGTATTATAAATGACCTCTTGCACAAAGGTGTCTCGATAACCGACTGATATATTTCTGATATATTTTTCAGGGATTACAGAAGGTGAGAAGATATATTTGGGCCATGTACTTTTTGTCCTACCTGAGAAAAGGTGTTAAAATAAGACCTGGGCCTCAGATAGAACTCTCACTGACTGCAAGCGGAGCCAACCGTTTTAATGGCGGCATCAGCCTACCAACAGAGGAAAGGAAGGTAACAGCATGCAGCCACAGCTGACCAGACAGACGAGCGGGGTGAGAAGCATGATTCCAGGACGATATGTGATGTATGTATTCCAATATATATATCTATGAGGATGATATATGTAAATCAGGACGACATATCAACACAGGATGATAAATATATATCTGTATTAAACCAGCATGATATATTTATGCCATATATACAAGGATTGTTAGTTTAAGGCAGGACAACTAAGTACAAGTTCAATCACTTTAGTTCCAGCATATAGTTACTATGGTTACTTGCAGTTAAACATACGCCAGGGAAGATTTGCATATACAGATGAGGCAAAGGAGAGGATGTAAACTGGATTATACTGCATGCCATGACATAAACACAAAGAACCGCAATGTATCCACATCAAATCATTATTTGATAACAAACCCTGGCACAAGCTTGGCAAAGCACTACATAAATTAATGTAAACACCCATAACTGTTCTTCATTTTGAGCTGATGGTCCTAGGAGGTATATCTGGGTTGGGAGAACAAGTGCACCAATGAACCACACGTCTGTGTGTGGTGGTGGTGGTGGAGAAGGGGGTTAAAGAGAAGGGCGATGGTGTGGGAGGTAGAGACATCACTGAACGGGTGACTCAGTATGTATTGGCCATGTTGAGGTACACAGATGATGGTTTGTGATGCTAGAGAGGTGAGATGGATACAACTGTATTGCATGACACTAACAGCACATTGTCAGGTACAGTCCCAACCACACAGGACATCACTGAACGGGCGATTAAGTATGTGTTGGCCATGTTGAGGTACACAGATGATGGTTAGTGATGCTAGAGAGTAGAGAGGTGAGATGGATACAACTGTATTGCATGACACTAACAGCACATTGTCAGATACAGTCCCAACCACACAGGACATCACTGAACCGGTAACTCAGTATGTATTGAGCATCAGACAGATGATGGTTAGTGATGCCTGAGACGGGTGAGATGGTTACAGCTGTATTGCATGACACTAACAGCACATTGTCAGATACAGTCCCAACCACACAGGACATCACTGAACGGGCGACTCAGTATGTATTGAGCATAAGACAGATGATGGTTAGTGATGCTAGAGAGTAGAGAGGTGAGATGGATACAACTGTATTGCATGACACAAACAGCACATTGTCAGGTACGGTCCCAACCACACAGGACATCACTGGACGGGAAACTCAGTATGTATTGAGCATAAGACAGATGATGGTTAGTGATGCTAGAGAGTAGAGAGGTGAGATGGATACAACTGTATTGCATGACACAAACAGCACATTGTCAGGTACGGTCCCAACCACACAGGACATCACTGAACGGGTGACTCAGTATGTATTGAGCATGTGACAGATGATGGTTAGTGATGCTAGAGAGGTGAGATGGTTACAACTGTTTTGAATGACGCCAACAGCACATTGTCAGGTACAGTCCCAACCACATGGGGGACACCACCGAATGGGTGACTCAGTATGTATTGAGCATCAGACAGATGATGGTTAGTGATGCCTGAGACGGGTGAGATGGTTACAGCTGTATTGCATGACACTAACAGCACATTGTCAGGTACGGTCCCAACTACACAGGACATCACTGAACGGGTGACTCAGTATGTATAGAGCATCAGACAGATGATGGTTAGTGATGCTAGAGAGGTGAGATGGTTACAGCTGTATTGCATGACACTAACAGGTAATCTACATTAGTCATGAAACAAAACTGAGGATATAAGTTTATCAACATAAATATTAACTGCAATAAAAAGTATTTTCAATGTCAATGCATGTATTTTCTTCTTACAGTAAACTTAAACATGGCACACAATCAGGCCAACAAAGAACTCACTCTCATCAAACCTTGTAACATGTCCATTATCATTGAAGTCAGATAATCTTGTTGACGATTGGCTGTCAAATACTGTGAGCATTTTGCTCATTTAACCAATATGCAGAATATCTTTGACAGGCCTATAATTACTCTCAGACAAAGCTTGGAACTAAAACCAATAATTTCACTCGTGACATTTTCCGTAATCACTCGTACCTCATGCGTTATTCTACAATTGTCATCTGTGAACATATTTTGGTCAAGCTTGTTACTTAAGTATATCTATTGACTGAACAGACTTTTCCTTACAACTCAAGTTAACAAATCAAGTATTGTAGATGAACAAACATTCTCATCAATATCTTTAATGTGAAATATTTAATAGTTTTGATAAAACCATGAAATCCCCCTAGTGTACATCTGTGTGTGTGTGTGTGTGGTGCCGGCTCCTACCTGGGAGTCTGCTGTGTTGTGTTTCTGGACCAGGTCTGTGTTCTCTGCGTCTCAGCCTCGTAAGAACCAGGGGTAAGTACTGGACCGAGTCGACTTCGGGGAACTGCTATATAATCATCAGTACGAGCATCAATATCATAATCAGTTCGAAGACATATAAAACACATTTTACTTTACTTTGTTTACATAACTTTATCTTACAAGTGTAGAAGATATATATGAAAAAGTAATAGCGAGTGAGCGAGTGAGCAAGTTTGATTTTACGCCGCTTTAAGCAATATTCCAGCAATATCACGGCGGGGGACACCAGAAATGGGCTTCACACATTGTTCCCATGTCGGGAATCGAACCCGGGTCGAGCGTGACGAGCTAACGCTTTAACCACTAGGCTACCCGCCCGCCCCGAGTGAGTGAGTCAGTAGTGGGATGATACACTGATGCATCACGATTTGTTACTACACGAAACAAAAATTGATCACAATCACACATTAATTGAAAAGTATCGATTCTTACCTTAACTGTATTCTTTAATAAATGTTAAACCAAACACTAATTACCAGTGATAATGAGTAGTGAAAATTAAATATTTTCATCCATTGCACCATACTTTGCACTGCCAACTGTAAATAGTCTGTGTGCCAGGTATTTGGCCATCCTGTCTATGAAAAAGATGCTTTACCAACAACAGTTGGTTGGTGGGTTTGTTGTTTAACGCCGCACTCAGCAATATTCCAGCTATATGACGGCGAGTCTGGACCAGACAATCCAGTAATTGATATCATGAGCATCGATCCACGTAATTGGGATCGATGACATGCATCAACCAAGACAGCGAGTCTGACCACCCGATTCCGTTAGTCGCCTTTTACGACAAGCATAGTCACCTTTTACAACAAGCATGGGTTGCTGAAGACCTATTCTACCCCGGAATCTTCACGGGTCTTACCAACAACAGATAAGTATCGTGATACGTATCAGAGCGTGAGCAAGGTATCATTACACGTATCAGACAACACAGTTGGTGTATCGTCCCAGCCCTAGCGAGAGTGTGAGTGAAGGGTGTTTAACACAGCCATCAGGCAATGTTCCAGCTAAATCAGGGAGCTTATAAATAATCAAGTCCAGACCAGACAAACCAGTCACTGGTTTAGTGACAATGGACTCCATTACCACATGAGACGTAACTAACCAAGTCTGTGAGCCTGAACACCCATTCCAGTTTCAGTTGACTCTGAGAGGACAACCCTAGTTTACTGGGGGCCACCGTGGAAGACCCAAGTGGGATATGTACATGTGAGGACCGTGTGGAGGGGTTGAGTTACCTGCTCGGCTGCAGTCGGGGGTGTTGGGTGTGTTGGGGTCTAGTGGGTACAAGCTGGTGTCCTCAATATTGAGGAACTTCACCCAGAATTCACCAGACAGTTCCAACAGGTTCTCCATTACCTGCAAAGACACATCCAAGGATGTCACAAGAATTTTAGGTCTAATTTAGTACGAAAACAGCTTCATTCAAAAGCAATTTAATCTCCATTCACTATCACAACAATAACAATACACTACTCAAGACCTTTGATTTGACTTGTCGTTTAACACCACACTCAGCAATATTCCAGCTATATGACGGCGGTATGTAAATAATCAAGTCTGGACCAGGCAATCCTGTGATTGACATCATGAGCATCAATCCATGCAATAGGGATAAGATGACATTCAACAACCAAGTCAGCGGGCCTGACCACCTGGTCTCGTTAGTCGCCTCTTACGACAAGCATAGTCGCTTTTTACGGCAAGCATGGGTTGCTGAAGACCTATTCTTCCAGATCTTCATGGGCCCAACTCTAGACAATACATGAGCACGATACAGTGACTGGTGGTGGAGCAGAGTGCACTCACCATGTTCTGCCTGCGTGTCTCGTTGATCATCTGCATGGGTTCCGGTTCCGGCGTGGAGTATCCCACCAGAGTGGGCCCAAACACCTTGGCCAGGTTGCTGATGGGCATCTTACACTCGGGGCACTCCGCAATCCTGCAACATCACACATACAGCTTACCAGGGATTTAGCCAAGATTCTAAACAAAGTTCCCCTGGCATGCAATTTGGGTAAAAATAATTATCTTGTTAATAGTTCTTTTTCTCTCTCTTATATTCTGAGGTATTATAATACCATATTTTGAGATTGTATTCAATGTAAAAACCTAACCAAGCAATAAGTGAGTGAGTGAGTGAGTGAGTGAGTATGGTTTTACGCCGCTTTTAGCAATATTCCAGCAATATCACGGCGGGGGACACCAGAAATGGGCTGCACACATTGTACCCATGTCGGGAATCGAAACCGGGTCTTCGGCGTGACGAGCGAATCCAAGCAATAAGCCTCTTCCTATGTATTGGTCCTGTTATCAGGTTAACACAGGTTACCTCTACAGAGCCATGACATTAGTTATTAGTGATACATATATAATAATGATCTAGCAGGTTGAGATAATACCCTGCTTACAGATTCATGACACACTAGTCCTTAAAACAACTCACTTGTCCAAACTTATTAATGATTTTTATCATGAAAGATTTCATCTGGGTGCTGAGGCAAGATCATGTGATACAACTACAAACTGATTTTCAAATGAAATAATGCCAAAGCAGCCAAATTCACCTGGAGCACAGGGTTCCATTCTTGAGAGCCTCTTATATATTGCAGCAATTACCACTGTTTTTTTTAGCATTCACCATGCCTTCACAAACATTTTCTAATCGATCTGAATGACATGTTGGGAGGGGCTGATGTAACAGACACAAAGATGCAACTAAACATTTCATTGAAAATGACAGGTGCACCAGGAGTTGATACATTCCAGTTACTAAGTAGTAAGTACAGAACCTTAGGCGTATAAACAATGTAGGTGAACACAGTTATGTTTGCAGGCCAGTACTGGAGTTTGGGCCCCTTCCACAAAGCAATCTTAATGCTAAGTCTTTGTCATACTTTAACATAGACTTATGATAATCTAACCATGTCTGAACCTGAGTGTTACAAATAAATTCACTGAGATTATCTCACCCGACAGTTGGGTACAAGTCAGTTATAACCACGACCAACCTGTAGGGATAGTGATGAACACAGCTGGGAAGGTGAGTCTGACTATAACACGTTCTAGTGAGCCGTGCTACCCCGGTAGTGTTCCTGTGGCTGGGGTAGATTTAACAATGTGTATGTAGACAGCAAGGCTTGGTCCTTTAAAAAGTTACAACCCTTCTCCAAACTAACTGGCCTTCAACTAAATGGTGGCCACAAACTGGCTGAACCTGAGGTCGTGTAAAATTTTAGAACTCCTCAACCCTAAAACCCTTTTAAATCTTGGCTTCCGTTTGCCTCATTTCATGGCGATTTATGTCTAAATAAAGAAGTTGTTGAACACAACATTACAAAATGGAGGCCGGTTGTCATTCTACAGAGATAATGCCATTAAAAAAATTGGACATAAAGAGAGAAGGTGTGAACGTTTCTGCAAGCCTTCCTTTGTAATTTTAACTGGGCTCAGGTCAACATGCCAGCAGTTAAATGGACCCCTGTGTGGAGACTTACTTCTGTAGATGCAGACAGAGGAAGGCCAGGGTGTCCCTGTTGGCCTGTGGCAGGTGCTCCACCAGGCTGTACAGATGTCTCTGGGAGGTTTCCCTGTCAGCTATCTCTGTACAAACACACCAGTCCATCAACTCATGACATGATCAAATACTGACAAATACAACAAGGAAAATACAGAAACAAGAGGACAAAGTCATCGATATCCCTCGTCACCTAGTTCTATTGATTGCATAACTATACAAAGGCACCAGTTCGACACTAGACCTATCTGTGTCAAGTTTAGTGGAGAAATATTGTACGCTTTCCAGACAGAGACATCTTGCAAGGACAGGGACACATGTAGAATTTGTTTTTAAGGATTTACACTCCTTTATTTACTACTTGTGCCGATGCCAATACAGTTCCAATATTTTGTTTGTTTTCTAGTTCTGATGGTTGACAATGATGTTTCTTCAATACCATGGTTCATAGAAATCTTCAGCAACCACATTTTCAAAGCAAAAGTTTTAAGGCAAAAGTAAGAGCTACTTGAGCATGTTGAGCTTTCAAACAGATTTGTAAGGACATACTTCATTCAAGCCCATACATCAGCCTATCAATATAATTTTACACTTGAGTTACGGACAAATCTTTTGCTTAATGACATCATGCATTATGGGAGGAAATATAATTGTGACATATTTATCAAGAATGGTCGTCAAATTTCTGACATCCAAAGTCAGGGTCTTTTCAAGCATGTGTAATCTTGGACAACACTGAGCAGCCTTAGAACTTCGTTTTTTATGACTAGTCCGGAGAACAAGTGTAAACCTTATGTCACCACAGAGTTTGTAGCTTGTCCTGCTTGAATGGGACAGGAATGTTTACTATGTTTACAGTTTCTGTTGGCTTTATTCAGTTGAAATTTGTAGCAAAAGTTAAGCATTGAAACCTGGTTCAGAATATTATAACCCTCAAATGCTACTAGTCAATGAGGACTGCTATCATTGGATTGTTACTTGTCCTCGGCACAATTTAGTAGTCTTGGGCAAGTGTGAATTTCAACGGCTGAGGATGCATCACTTACCTGCGGACTGGGCAAACTCTAGCCACAGCTTGTAGGTGACCAGCGGTTCCTTCAGTCCACGCAGGAAGTCCTTGAGACAACCACACACCACATGGATATCCAGGATGTTGTTCTGGGAACGAAACACACAGCATCAGACAACTGGTCACTGACAGCATGGGACGAACACAAGCTATGGACACCTTCAATCAGTTATGATTTCTTGTTTTCTGTTTAATGCCACACTCAACAATAGTGCAGTTTTATGGCCTGTAAATAATAGCCTGGACCAGACATTCCAGTGATTGATATTATCAGAAAGTCCCAAGCTGATGGGGTACCAGAAGACACAATCAACAGAGTCGGACTACCCCATTAATTTAGTCCTCACTGAGTATATGTTGCTGTGGACCTTTTTTAACAGGACTCCCCACATGGGACATGTTGCTGTGGACCTGTCATAGCTTGGACTGCCCACAAGGGATATGTTGCTGTCCTAACCCGGACTCCCAACAAGGGATATGTTGCTGTCCTAACCCGGACTCCCCACAACGGATATGTTGCTGTCCTAACCAGGACTCCCCACAAGGGATATGTTGTTGTCCTAATCCGGACTCCCCACAAGGGATATGTTGCTGTCCTAACCCGGACTCCCCACAACGGATATGTTGCTGTCCTAACCCGGACTCCCCACAAGGGATATGTTGTTTTGGATCTGTTCTCCCCGGACTCCCCACAAGGGACATGTTGCTGTTGTAATCCGGACTCCCCACAACGAATATGTTGCTGTCCTAACCCGGACTCCAAACAAGGGATATGTTGCTGTCCTAACCCGGACTCCCCACAAGGGATATGTTGCTGTCCTAACCCGGACTCCCCACAAGGGATATGTTGCTGTCCTAACCCGGACTCCACACAACGGATATGTTGCTGTCCTAACCCAGACTCCCCACAAAGGATATGTTGCTGTCCTAACCCGGACTCCCCACAAGGGATATGTTGCTGTCCTAACCCGGACTCCCCACAAGGGATATGTTGCTGTCCTAACCCGGACTCCCCACAACGGATATGTTGCTGTCCTAACCCGGACTCCCCACAACGGATATGTTGTTTTGGATCTGTTCTCCCCGGACTCCCCACAAGGGACATGTTGCTGTTCTAACCCGGACTCCCCACAACGAATATGTTGCTGTCCTAACCCGGACTCCCCACAAGGGATATGTTGCTGTCCTAACCCGGACTCCACACAACGGATATGTTGCTGTCCTAACCCGGACTCCCCACAACGGATATGTTGTTTTGGATCTGTTCTCCCCGGACTCCCCACAAGGGACATGTTGCTGTCCTAACCCGGACTCCCCACAAGGGATATGTTGCTGTCCTAACCCGGACTCCCCACAACGGATATGTTGCTGTCCTAACCCGGACTCCCCACAAGGGATATGTTGCTGTCCTAACCCGGACTCCACACAACGGATATGTTGCTGTCCTAACCCAGACTCCCCACAAAGGATATGTTGCTTTCCTAACCCGGACTCCCCACAACGGATATGTTGCTGTCCTAACCCGGACTCCCCACAAGGGATATGTTGCTGTCCTAACCCGGACTCCCCACAAAGGATATGTTGCTGTCCTAACCCGGACTCCCCACAAGGGATATGTTGCTGTCCTAACCCGGACTCCCCACAAGGGATATGTTGCTGTCCTAACCCGGACTCCCCACAACGGATATGTTGCTGTCCTAACCCGGACTCCAAACAAGGGATATGTTGCTGTCCTAACCCGGACTCCCCACAAAGGAAATGTTGCTGTCCTAACCCGGACTCCCCACAACGGATATGTTGCTGTCCTAACCCGGACTCCCCACAAGGGATATGTTGCTGTCCTAACCCGGACTCCCCACAAGGGATATGTTGCTGTCCTAACCCGGACTCCCCACAACGGATATGTTGCTGTCCTAACCCGGACTCCCCACAAGGGATATGTTGTTTTGGATCTGTTCTCCCCGGACTCCCCACAAGGGACATGTTGCTGTTCTAACCCGGACTCCCCACAACGAATATGTTGCTGTCCTAACCCGGACTCCCCACAAGGGATATGTTGCTGTCCTAACCCGGACTCCCCACAAGGGATATGTTGCTGTCCTAACCCGGACTCCCCACAAGGGATATGTTGCTGTCCTAACCCGGACTCCACACAACGGATATGTTGCTGTCCTAACCCAGACTCCCCACAAAGGATATGTTGCTGTCCTAACCCGGACTCCCCACAACGGATATGTTGCTGTCCTAACCCGGACTCCCCACAAGGGATATGTTGCTGTCCTAACCCGGACTCCCCACAACGGATATGTTGCTGTCCTAACCCGGACTCCCCACAACGGATATGTTGCTGTCCTAACCCGGACTCCCCACAAAGGATATGTTGCTGTCCTAACCCGGACTCCCCACAAGGGATATGCAGCGTGACACTCACCAGCCTGGGGACACCCTTCCCCTTGAAAAACTTCTCCTTCAGGTCCTTCACCTCTCTGTCTGACCTGCAACAAACACACAGACATCCCTGAAGCTGAAACAGCTATTGTCTTAAATGTTATTGAAGATTAACCTTCTATCATATGATGGCAAGTGATATCGATCCGATAAACCAATCTAATAAACTTGGTATCATGACTTGATAATATCCAAATGAGGTATCCCTTGCAGGAACTACTTTCAAGCTCTATACATCAATGAGCCTTTAAACAACTTGAAGATGAAGGATACTGGAGAGATGGTATTCATGTGATGGCGCATAGAGGACAGCTGCCAAGTTATAGCTGGTTGGGATATTTAACCACAATATTGGTACTCGTCCTCGCTGCACACAGCAGACAGAGTCAACTTACCCTGGTACTCTGTAGATGCCCACCTCAGACAGACCCCGAGTCTCCACCTCATTCACACAGTGAACCTGCCACAGGGAAACAAACAATTACATGGAATGTTGATCAGTGGTTGAATCCAGAGTCAACTGGCATAACCTTAAGCAGTCAGGTTCTGTCATAAAGCCTAGAGATATCATCATGCATCGTGATAGCGATACAGTATTAATGTTGATGCTGTATCGAAGTAAATGCATAAATATTTACAAACTACATTAATAATTCACTGCCACAGAAACATTTACAATAAGTGAAGATTTCCAATCAACGAAACCTATAATAAAGACCATAGCGTCCTAAAGAAAACTGACTGTTCACCAGCATGACCGTGTTAACCATGTGTTAGCTATACATACTACTGAACTAATGACAGGGATAATCCAATGTTATTTTATTAAAATATGCACTTGACATATTATGATGTTTGTTTCTGGTGTTTAACGCAGTACTCAGCAATATTTCATCTATATGTGACAGCGGTCTATAAATAATCGAGTCTGGACCAGACAATCCAGTGATTGACATTATGAGCATCGATCCACACAATTGGGATACAATGACATGCATCAACCAAGTCAGCAGGCCTGACTACCTGATCCCATTAGTCGCCTCTTACGACAAGCATAGTGGCCTTATATGGCAACCATGGGTTCCTGAAGGACTATTCTAGTTCGGATCTTCACGGGTCAACATATTATGACAATAGGTTTGTGTATACACATACTATCATGGAAAGATAGAAATGTCCCTATCAAAAATGAAGTAATATGTATATAAGTCTACCCTTTCAAACATGTCATAGTTTACACTACTTTAAAGTAAGTAATGCTATTTCCTGACATGAATGATTAAGTTCCTCAAGCAGGGATAATTCTAGGGTTGGGCCTTGTGCTTTTAGCCCCTAAATTTAAAAAAAAGGCCCATATTTTAACATTGTGCTGTATGGGCGTACTTCTGGAATATTTGAAATTTTCATATAGAGGGCCTATGTCAGAAAATCCTTGAGTCAACCCTGCTGAAGAAATAGTGAAACATATCATAAGGGTGTTTGTTTTTATTACACAATAAAACAAACCACTGCAAATATCCTTGCAATATTTGAATTTTCATTAGTATGATTAGAGCAATCACAAAAAATACCTCCGATGTTGAGAAATGTCCTATTTATAAATATAGACTTACCACAAGTGATGGGATCATTGGTGAATCACTAGGAGTAAAGTCAGAAATCAGTCCCTGAAACACATGGAAATCCAATGATGTCAAAACTATTTTTCTCAGATTTAGTTTCCTTGACTTTGACAACCGTGAGAATACAAAATTGTGCTGAGAAGGAGTAAATACCAATGATGGTAGTCCTCATCATGCTCATAGAATGGTAGGATTTGGGAGCTATAATCGGAATCAGTTCCCAATGCTTTAAGTTTGCTTCAAATTGGAACTGAATAAAATTGATAATAATAAGTAAACATAGTAAACATTTCTGTCCCTTTCAAGCAGGACTGGTTACAAACTCTGAGGACTGGTGAAAAATGTTACAACTAGTCCTCTGGACTAGTCTTTAAAAAATAGAATTTCAAAGGCTGCGACTGACGAAAGACATGACTGTCAGTTTAATATTGCGTGTTGCTGTACTGACCCCTGCTTTCTGGTGAGCCCCTGGGGTGCTGGGTGCATTGGGCATACAGGGGAGGGGCAGCTGGTCCTTGCAGTCGGGGTGGCAGGTGGCCTTGCAGTCTGGCGGGGGGAACACACAGTGAGCACAAGACACACAGAGGGAGGGAACAACACACAGTGAGAATAATCAAGTAAATCTCTCCATATCAATTCTGACAAACACTATTGTATCATCCAACCAAGGCTCAAATGATTTCATGCAATATCAACATTTAAATTTTGATTTGGATGCTATCAATGTATTCATATGCATGTTTTGTGTGTGAATAGACTGAATTTAGAGGCATCAAATGGAAATTGATACCTCATTTTAACCAATAAGAACCAAGCATTCTTCAAGGTCATGATAGAATACATCATACAGTCCATGCTATACCAATGGGATTTACAAATATTGGTATTCTTGTTAAATCTCTGTAAAGTTATAAATACCACATTGGTCAAATGGTGGTTGACGGACACAAGCAGTAAACGTGATGAAACTCTACCTCAAGGATGCACTTACCTTTACACTTCATTGCCAGCTTGCCAAAACGGATCCTCTTGCCACACTGAAACACAGGGCTCTCACTTCCAGGATTTGTTTGTTTGTTGTTAAACGCTGCACTCAGAAACTTTAAAGCTATATGATAGTGACCATAAATAATCAAGTCTAAACCAGACAATCCAGTGAAATTGTGACCAACAATTCAGTGAAATCGTGACCAACCATCCATCTTCGGGGTACAATGACACACCATCAACCAAGTCAGCGAGTCTGACCATCAAATCCATTTGGTTGCCCCTTATCAGGTGAGGTGAGGTCAGATGGTGTTAAATGTTGTGTCCAAGATTATTGCACTTAAATAGTGACGTACATGCACATGTGTGTGTGTGGCTGCTTGTACTGCTTGGTCTGGACTAATGCCGATTTATAGTGCTAGCTCACTGAGATACCATGCCACAGTTTAACATCAATACCCCACTCAGACACAGCATACTGACTCCAACCAGTCCTTGTTTTAGCCCCTTAATGCCGAGCGCCAGAGAGGGTAACAAGTACATCTTTTAACGTCAAATGGCATGACGTGACCAGGGATCAAACACCTATTCACTCGTAGCAGTTAGTTTACATCTTTAACCACAAAGCTATCCCACAACTACTATTCACAAAGAAGAAAGTAAAACGACACTGTCGGGACATATTTTCCTTTTTTCTCAGCATACAAATCTGTGTCCTGTGAACATGGTTAAAGTATCTGCATGAAAGTGTCGTGTCTCCACTTACCGGCACACAGGTTTCTGGTTTGATGAAAGTCCTGGAGATGAACACATGGACTCGGTTGAGGCCCTTCCCAGCCGAAGAGCTGCGACCGAGCACCGGGGTCCTGCTGATATAGAGACTGTGTTACAACCTGCTGTATAGCAGCATAGGATACAAGCTCCTTACAGCGATAGCCCATTCGCGGAGCTTTCTATACTATCACTGCCACCATTCAAAGCTCCCAAATGTGATAGGTGGCCACAACCATGCTTGGAGATGAACTCCAACTGACCGTTATGTTTACAAACAAGTGATGACTGCCGTGACACCAATTACTCTTACCCCAGCTTAATTATTTTCTTTGTCAATTTGAATTTCTATTTCATTCCAACTATCATGTAATTGGTATAGTAAGAATGTAAGGGGGGAGTTGGTTGATTTTCCGTTAGTCTGCAATCTCGAACCAATCTCATTAAACAAACAAAAAGGTAAATTCATCTTAGGAAATTTGATCAGAGGAAAACCTTTTCAAAATTCACTATGAATCTATGATAGCATTCCCCAAAACATAAACAAAAATATAAACTTGACTACATTTGGGGTTAGAGGGCAAATTTCAAGATTCTTGTAAAGGCCGAGGTCACACATGGCAGCAATCTTACCAAGAGTGTAACGAAGGAGCTTGCATTCAGGAAACCCACACAGCTACATTTAGCAAACTCATTGAATGTGTAGAAATAACATTAATAAAGTAAGTATGCATTTTCACATTACAGGTATTGCATCGGAGTATACACAATCTATGGCAGTATTTACTATAAACACACACACACACAAACCATGCCAATGTGCAGAGTCATCCCGAGCAGAAGAATGAACAGTCGAGGCATGTGCAGATTTCAAGATAAATGTTTAACTTACATGGTCTAAGGCTAGTCAAAGCAAGCAGCACAGGTACCAAGAAAGGTTCCTAAATTAATGTAGGCTAAATACGACAAGCATACCAGCACAGCTACCTAATTATAATAGCAAAAGATATATACTTGATAATGAATATGCAGTGAATGAGTGAGTGAGTTACCATTACCAAATTACTTTTTAGGTGTTTGTGTACAAATATGTATTTATAAAATGTAAAAAACCCAGTCATAAAACACACACTGCGCAATCATGTCTTATTGTTAGTCATGTATATTGCTGTTGTGAGTTTATGCACCATAGCTTACACAAATTATAAGTCACCTGAAACAGCATTTAAGCATGTCTACTCGTTGGTGTTAAAGTACCCACATGACAGGAGTGAGTTTTACATCACTTTTAGCAACATTCCAGCAACATCATGGCGGGGGACACCAGAAATGGACTTCACACATTGTACCCAGGTTGGGAACCAAACCCTGGTCTTCGCCATGACGAGCAAATACTTTAACCACTAGACTACCAGACCGCCCCACAAATGACTGGACCCAAGCGAGTACAAATACATTAGATACCCAAAGAAAACTATCAAGAGCCAATTTGAATGATAACATGTGGTTAATATTCATGGCACAAAAACATTATCTGGAGCTTGGCTTCACACGTTGCAGCCATGTGTGGAATCAAACCCGGGTTTTCACCATGACAAGCCCATGCTTCTACCAACATCTATCCCTGCAGTGATGATGATGGAACTATTACCATGGTTACAGTAGGAAAAGTAATAATCATGATAACAATTACAGACAAAGAAAATGTCTGACAGTACTGAGCAAACAGAGAAAATGATGAACATGATATAGACAGACAGGCAAGCTTGGTAGATGTGATGCTAGATAAATGTTGATGATGGATGCACGGTATACGAGGAGTAGATGAGTGGCTACATATAGTCATGTGACTCGTGGTTACACACAGACACTGACTGATAAACGTCACGTACCTAAACAATTTATTCTTCGTCTTCGCGCCTGTAGGCGGCTTTGTGCCACTTAAGTCTCTAACAAATAAAACAATGCTATCACAAAGTGGCAAGAGTCTAGTTCTTTCTTTGATTTATTGTATGTGAAAACAGTTCAGATTACCTTGGTGAACTGTTTCGTGTTCATCTTCCTGAGACAAGGAACTGACTATAAAAGTCCAGTTTCCACCCAAGCCGAACTAGGCTGGAATTCCAGAGTTACATTTTGGCTGGACTAACAAGTCCATGCATAGTCCGATCAAATTTGAGTCATGAACAAGACATCTCGTGTGTAAACAACATGGATTTCAATGTGCAGATTTTGTTCGACAGGAGGTTTTGCAAAGCATGTGTACTGTCAACTGGGCATCGACAGATATTTTGCAAATTTTTCATGTTTTTAATCAAGGTGCTCAAGTGATTTGATGCACTTCGGTGGGTGAGACAAGTTTTATTACAATATAGATCTTGATTATTGATCAGATTGTCTTGACTTGACTGGGTGCCACCATTTTGTTTAAAGCAAATGCGAATGATATGAGAAATGGAATCTGATTGGTCAACAGGAGGGACACAGAAGGGACATAACTCCTGGATATTCCAGCCTAGTGCAGCATGGGTGGAAACCAGACTTTTATAGTCAGTTAACGCCCTTGCCTCAGGAAGATGTTTTGTGTCAGGGCTTAGAATGTACGTCGGTAGTGCTCAGTTGTGCACTCCTACACATACTAAAACTAGTACTTGTTTTTATCGTTCTATCAGCATGATCAGGCTTTTTAAAAGCTGGGCAAAAATATGCATGAAATAGCTGTAAAGCAAATAAAACTATAGTAGTGTCAGAAATAAAAGGAAACTGCTTTCCCCTAACAATTCAAGGTAGTAGTGTTCATGTATACTTTTACTGGAAATAACTCAGGAGCAAATATCAGCACCTCACTAAACTGTGGTACCGTAGAACATGTAATTCGATCAGAATGTTTTGATACCACCAATGAGGAACACTGATGACATTTTGGTCAGTTCAATAACTTCAATATGTTCTGTCTGATCAGAAATATTAGGAGACAAACAATAATGTAGAAGAACAAACAATGGAAGAAGTGCTGGTGACAGACTGATGCAGAGAGTAGATGTCTTTACAACAGTGACATTCAGTGTTTGAAACAATTCTAAAACCCATCACAACAGTCAGGTAGGAGACCCATAAACGTTGCCTGCCCATCTTCAAAGTTATCGGCCAGCATTCAGACATTATAAACATTGGAAAATCGCAAAAAAATAAGAGACGGTCACAAATCGCGTCTTGAATCAGTTAAAATAATGCAAACAAATACTTAAGAATCTACAAGGAGTTATACCAAAACTGAATACATAAGTAGTCTTAAAATTATCTGCCAGAAAGTTGGGCAGGTGGGGAAAATTTAATGCAGCCTAAAAGAAAAGTCACCAGCCACGGGCAGTTATTTGACACTGGTGACATTCGAAAGGACTCTCCAAAATCTAGTTTTGCCAACAGTGTGATAATACAACGTGCAGGCGACACAGAAACCAAATAACCCCAAATCAGAGAGACAACTGTATTCCTATTTTCAGATGATAAAACATCTTATAAACTACCCGGCCATCCACCTTGGTCCTACTTAACAGATGTGGAAACACTGAAACATTGTAAAGACCTTAGTCAGTCTAGGACAAGCTTCAGAAAGAAACAGCTGAAGCACTGAATATTCACACTCGCAAGGTTTATGCCTATCTTAATAGAAGCAGTCCACTTTTATCTTCTGACACTACTTTAGAAACGAAAACTACTGAGCAAATTATCCATGTTTGTGAGGCTGACAACAAATGTCGTGTTTCGTCAGTGAAGCTGGGAACAGAGAGCTGATACTTACTCTGGATGAGATGGGGTCCGCTTCAAGATTCCCTTCCTGGTACGACTGTTGTTCCTATTTCTGGGGGTACCAAAGAAGGAGTCATCAGACTCGGGTTCACTGTCTGGAACAAAATTTTACATGTTTCCTTAACTTTAGTACAGAAATACCTTCAGCTGGAAGATACAGAACTGATCTACCAAAAGCAGCCATAGAACGAACATTTTGTATCAACGAGTGAGTGAGTAAGTGAGTTGGGTTTAACACCGCTTTTAACAGTATTCCAGTTATATTGCGGCATGTCAGCTTAATGTGGGAGGAAAGCCCAAAGTGATGCAGGTCTCAGACGTTTACCAGTTCGGTGAAACACACGAGCACGGGTATGGTGCTGACAAACCTAGAAACATAATCGGGGCGAACCAGGATTTGTACCCACAATCATAGGTTTCTGGTGTGCCCAAGGGAAGCAACTCTGCACAGCGAATCGCGGCGCCTTAGACTGGGCCACCCGTGCCCCCTTGTATCAACGAGGACCCTGAGGCTGTATTTGAACTATTTACACTCAAAATTAACAGTTAAACCCACAAGGATGATAATAAGGGAGAATTTGACACAAACCTAATCCACACTCAATAACTATGTCGCCAAGCATACTTACGGGACTCGTAAGTATTCCTTAACACGACTCGATCGAACTCATGAGAGTATTACATACCCTGAGGACACATGGGAATGTGTTGAAATATGAACTTACATGACATTTCTTTATGGATAGCAAATTCTTTTATTCTTTGATGAATACTTCACCCGAGGGAGCACAAAGTAGCCCTAAGTGAGTTTGGTTTTACGCCGCTTTTAGCAATATTCGCGCAATATCACGGCGGGGGACACCAGAAATGGGCGTCACATATTATACCCATGTCGGGAATCGAACCTGGGTCTTCGGCGTGACAACCACTAAGGTACCCGACCATCCCTAAGTAACTCTGTAACATCGTACAAAGAAATTGCTATCCCTAAAAGAGTGTCATGTATTCATGGGAAAGAGTATGTAACAGATTCATAAAATTACTGAAGAAGAAATGTGTTTACATGTTCCACTTCACATCATACTATCAGCATTATTTTCTCTATCCATGTTGACATCCACCTACCGGCATCTCTGTCGTTGACTGGTGTCTGCAGGTGCTTGTCCAGGGCCGGCTCACTGAAACTCTTGTTCAGCTTTGGAACATTCACTTCTGTGCTTGCGGACACCGGCTTGCCACTGCCGTTCACTGTGATGGTGGTGGTTGTAACGATAGAGTTGTTGTGGTCCTGCAAATCAAGTATACAGTTCAGGGTCCCGTTGCACAAAGCTATCTTAGTGCCAAGGTGATTGTTTGTTGTTTAATACAACACTCAACAATATTCCAGCTATATGATGGCGGTCTGTAAATCATCAAGTCTAGACCAGACAAGCCAGTGATTGATATCAGGAGTATGGATCCACACAATTTGGATACGATGACATGCATCAACCAAGTCAGCGAGCCTGACCACTGGATCCTGTTAGTCGGCTCTAAGTCTTACAACAAGCATGGCAAAGGTGATTGTAACTCCCATACTTTAACTTAGGCTTATGATAGCCGTAGTGCTAAGATCGCTTTGTGCAACAGGGCCCAGATGTTCATTTTATCCAGTTTCATTAAAATGATGTTCATTGAATACTTATCTTGGTGAATACATTTTCAGAGTTGATTTGTCACATGTAAATTATTACAATTCTCAAACCAAACCAAACTATAGTACAAATAAGGAAAACCAATAATTATTTTCATTTTACAAAAGAAGTGTGTTATGAAAACTAATACTTACATCTGAGCGATGTCTCTTTGGCGATGATCTTCCCTCAAAGTCTTCTATGGGAGGAGCAGTGGGGCTTCGGCGTTTATAGCGCCGTGACGGGTACGCCATGTCGATGTCCCCCTCACTCTGGTCATAATCAATATCATCCAGCATAGAACATGACGACTCCATGATTGTGTTCAATCTGAGGAACGAGGTAGACCAAAGTCAATGAGCAACAGATACAAAAATGGAAGCCAAGGTCAACCCATAAGGTATATAATGCAAAGAAGATGGAAGGAATTATTTAATAATTTTACCATAACATCTTTGGATAGCATACATTGTTCTAAATTGAAAACTAGATGTTCTTGTCATGACCCTTTGAATGTTATAAATTTTGGGGGTGTTCGATACAAAGATCAGAGAGGAAAAAAGGAGTCGTTTTACATAAAACACGACCCAAGAAGATCCGGGTTAGAATAGGTCTCCAGCAACCCATGCTTGCCGTAAAAGGCGACTAACAGGATCGGGTGGTCAGGATCACTTGATTGTCCAGACTCCATTATTTACAGACTGCCGTCATACAGCTGGAATATTGCTGAGTGCAGCGTAAAACAACAAACTTAAAACACTGGTGTACAAAGGCAAGCTACAAATCTTTATTTTAAGAATTTTTGAACATAGAAGCACTTACTTTTGTGGAGACTCGTACTCATTGTGGGTGTTGTAGTTTGATCTCAGGTTGCTGGTGTTGACGAAGGCACTGAGGCGCTCTCTGTCGTGCTCGTTCATGCGGATGCTCTTGTTCTCCTTGTCAAACAGCAGCTCCCGTACCTTGTTCAGCTGCTGCTCCTGTAAACACAGATGAATTGTGTGATAGGCATTACTTAGAAGTTGAGGGGGAACAAAATAAACACAAATTTTGGGTAACAACTTCTTAAATATCTGTCAAGGTGACGTTTTGGTATAGATCCTTATACTGTTAGGCAAAGATCCTCATACCGTTGTCCTTGCTCGACATAGGTTTGAGGATTTATACCAAAACGTCGCCTTTACCGTAAATAAAGGTTGTATCCATAAATGGTGCCTTCTTTGTCACAAATAGACATCAGGTGCCACATTACAACAGGTTCAAGAAATTCAATATACATATATGAAATATCACTAATGACCATGATGCAACATTTATGCTGTCACCCAGTTCAGCATAATCATCGAAGCATCTTTTTCTCAATGTAAGCAGAAAGTACGTCACAGCCATTAGCATGATTAGTCAATACTAATACCTCTGTAAATAATCACTGTACTGATACTATTGTGATATGAATCGTAAAAGTACTATGAATGTACTATTGTTTTAATTCATTACAATCTCACCGCAGTTACATATGTATGCAACAAGGGAAAACCGTTTTATGTTCCAATCATAAAACACAGGTGACACAGGTGTGTGTGTGTGTAGTTACCAGTGAGTCTCTGTCTTGCTCGGCATGCTTCCTCCTGTACATCTCCTTGTCTATAGTGTTCCTGTAACAGAGGCACAGCTGCACTCAACACCAGAAGATGTGTCTCTCTCACACACACAAATTCATAAAATAAGCATAAGTACTTACAGGGAATGAGGGTTTTACCTTGACTTACAAAAGTGGGGGTTCAGGGGACCCCCAGGAATTAAGTTTGCAGGCAATATGAGAAGTCCTTTAAAGGTGAGGTGAGGTGAAATGGGGTTTAATGTCGCGTCCAAGATTATTGCACTTATATAGCGATGTGTGTGTGTTTGTGTGGCTGCTTGTACTAGTCCAGACTGATGCCGATTTATAGTGCTAGCTCACTGAGATACCATGCCGCAGTTTACCATGAATACCCCACTCAGACACAGTATACTGACTCCGAGCCAACCAGTCCTTGTTTTAGCCCCTTAATGCCGAGCGCCAGACAGGGTAACAACAAGTACCATCTTTTAACGTTTTTAGGTATGACACGGTTGGGAATCGAACCCCGGACCTTCTGCTCTACGAGCAGACGCTCTACCACTAGACCACGGAGGTGGTCCTCCTTTAAAGTAATGAAATGGCGTAGTATACTGTACGTATACTTTATTACTTCAGAGCCTGGAATGAATCAATGATCAAGTGGACAGTGGTCATGATTGATGGGTGAAATAACAGACACCCATAACTGCTCTTGATACACTGCAGGTACAATGAATGTTACACTTTTCAAACTTTCTTTTCTGCGTCCTTTCTCTACATTTGTGCGTTGTGTAAAACCCTGGGGCATGTCAAAACCTGAGATCTGGCTCAAGGCTAGCTACTTATTACGAGTGAAACAATTTATCAACTCGGTGATGCAATGCAATGCAATACGTAGTATGACCAAGGCTAAGTACTTACAGGGCATGTTTAAGCCTGGTATTGAGAGCATTTAGGTCTGCTTGGAGCTCCTGAACTTTCTCCTGCATGCTCTCCACTTTCTGCTCTGCTGCATGCCACTTCTTACGGCAGTCCTCCTGAGTTCGAACAAATGACCGGAACTCTGAATCAAAAACAGAAAATTTCACATACATGACCGTGACCATAAACAATGATAAGGCGTTTTCAGGTAACCCGACAGACCCATTGTTTTACTTGCATCCCATTGTTACTCAAATGTTTTTTTCACAGTTGGAAAGAGCCGTCAAGAAGCCCATAGTTTACGGTATTGCAGCTCTTTTTACCTACAAAAGTTCCATTGCAACTAACACCAGTTCTTTATCAACCATCTAGCCAAACATAATTGCGAAAAGTATTACTATTAAATAAAACAACAAACCTCCTACAAAGTATCGACCCAAGACTAACATATAGCCTGAAATCTTTCATAACACAATACATCTCTCTCCTCTAAGATTTAAAAAAGCAGATTTTTATTTTCATCATGCTGATTTCATGTGGAATAGAGCCGACAAGACTCGCTTTTATATAAATCTACATTGGTTTTGTTTTCATAAAATACACATGTTCCAGTCATAATGGCCATGGCACAGAACAAGTTGGGTCCACGTTACCATGGTTACCTAAACACGTTGAAACAAGTAGTTTTGCAAATCAATAAGATTATGATAACATTCATCATGATCATGACTATAATTTTGATTATCGTATTAAATATGACTTTTTATAAAGAAAATTCATTTTTCATAATTGATTTTCGTGTCCAAAGCGAAATCAAAATATGGCCAATGTGAATACTAGCAGTCAACAGATTTAATCATGATTATATATACAATGTTTTAAATTAGGCCTGACAATAACCATGGTAATGGAAAGGGGCCTTGTCATATCCCTAATGTTGAAAGTTGAAAATTCAAATGACCCGTAATATAGCAGCAAACAAGGCCCGACTTAATTAAACGCTGTACACGACCATTGATCACAACAGCTGGTATCAGTCTTGAGGATGAAATCAGATTCATGCTGTTTCATCTTTGCTGTATAATTGTGATCCAAGAACAAAGACCTCTTCATTCAGTCTTAAACATTAAAAACAAAATAAGGAAATGACCCATTTACAGTGCTGTTTGTCGGTGCGTAATAGCTACCATGTGGCATGTGTTGCATATGGTATGTATCACAACATGTGCCAAGAAATTAGACATTCAAATGGTTTACAGTTTTGGCGCCAAAACATGCCAACTGACAATCTTGCATATCTCGGCATGTTTAGGGGTCAAAACAAACGAATTTGCAAAAACATTTTCATGACACATAAACCATGTTAAAGTGAAGTCTTTTTCCTAAATATAAAACATATAGGGTAGTACAAAAAATGGGTTACTTGGACATCTCAGAAAAACTAGTAAAAAAGTTCATTCCCCACATCAGGCTCAACTGACATGATAGCTGTTTTAGCAATATAAAAAAAGCAGCAGTTAAAGGTAATAAGAATGATTGTTCTTAAACATGTCAAAACTTAATTTCAATCCACAGTTGTAAAATAATCATTATACGTCGCAGAACGCTGACATCTTTCTACCATTTTCTAAAAAAGACTAATAAAAGAAAACTGGACAAAAAGACTTAAGTACTTGTGAATTCTTGTCTAATGCAAACAAGTAAACAAGGTAAATATATGTGAAATCAAAGCAAAAACGATCTAAAATGCACAAAAAATACTCCATCAATCCAAAATTTATTTGAATACAACACGCACAGCTACAAATCACAACAATATCATAATCAAATAAAACACCTACCACTGCCTCCAAAAAATGCCCGTAGTGATGGCATCCTCATGATGAAAGACAAAAAACAATACAATATCCTATGAAAAAATATCCAAGCCACACAACGTTAAGGCGGCATTAAGCCATCAAGACTGCTTCTACTGATGCCTCACTCCAGAGGAACAATACCCAGCCAGGATCTAACAGCACTGGTGTAATGTTCCTGCATTTGAAGGCAAACAGTTTGTGGAGTTGTAAGGTGATAGTATTGTAGGAAGCAGCACCGGCCGACATCCACAGAGGAGGATATGGTTAATACAGGAAGCCGTGGGATCATTGGGTAACACTTGACAGCCCTTGGTTCTCACAAACAACATGTACACTATTCAGGGGGAACCAGGCCACCAAGAGCATGTTACTATAACAATACATCAGATATGGCTGTTACAAAAACACTACTACTGACCATGTGATTCTCTGAGTACGTCACACGGATGTGATGGATGGAAGTGGTTACTATATTGGGAAGCACTTTAAACATCACTTTGAAGATCATGTTTAAAGAACCAAAGTGTCCGAAATATGTGTTGCTTGGACTTGGTTTCAGAAACTAGTACCGGGTACTGGTCATACATGCCAGTGTTGTAAATTGGTACTTGTCCAATAGTCCTTGTCAAACTGCACAATATTCAAGGTATCATAAGGACTTGTAGAAATTTGCCCTTTTGAAGGGTTTAGATTTATGTCATCATTATAAGGACTAGTGGGCTAAAACTGTCAGTTTCTATTGCTGCATGCCGAAAGTAACAAGCCAATTTCAGTGGTTCTCAGAGTCTTACTTTTGCTTTGCTGTCAGTAATGATAAGAGGCATGTTGAATGACACAATATACCAATAGGGTTCAGGTATTTTGTTGAGTCATTGAGTCATTGTTTTTTTGTTATTTAACGCCACACTCAGCAATATTCCAGCTGTATGACAGCGGTCTGTAAATAATCGAGTCTGGACCAGACAATCCAGTGATTGACATCATGATCCACGCAATTGGGATACGATAACAGGCCTCAAAAAAGTCTGACCACCCAATCCTGCATTGAGTGAGTGAGTTGGGTTTAACGTCACTTTGAACAGTGTTCCAGTTATATTGCAGCTTGTCAGCTTAATGTGGGAGGAAAGCCCCAAGTGATGCAGGTCTAAGAATTTACCACTTCTGTGAAACCCACGAGCACGGGTATGGTGCTGACAAACCTAGAAACATAATTAGGGCAAACCGGGATTCGAACCCACAATCATAGGTTTCTGGCCCAAGGGAAGCAACTCTGCACATCGAATCCCAGCGCCTTAGACGACTGGGCCACCCGTGCCCCCCAATCAGTCATTGGGTATGATTACTCACATTATTAACATTGGGCATTGATAGAGTTTTGGCATTCAATATTTTACTACTGGGTTTTGTAAACTGGTGAATTAACTTTTTTTAAAATTAAATTCGACTCCGGCGCTGTTTCAGGTAACTTCTAATTAGAGTATGTTCGTGTGCAGCCCTAGGTTAGACATACCCCATACAGATGTTCACATCTGAGCATTATTCACTGCAGTGGAGTTCATGCATGTCTGCATCTTCCCGAGGCAAGGGAGTTAACTGACTTTAAAAGTCCAGTTTCCACCCTTGCCAAACTCGGCTGAAATTCCTGGGCTCAATCGTAGCACCACAAGTGGTTATTACGAGTTATGTCCCTTCTAAGCCTCCCCTATGGGCCAATCAGATTTCACCTCTTGTATCACTTGCATTTGTTTCTAACAAAATGGCGGCGCCCTGTCAAGACGATCTGAATGATAATCCACACCTATATTGTGATAAAACGGGTCTTACATCGCGAAGTGCATCAAATCACTTGAGCACCTTGATTAAAAACATGAAAGATTTGGTAAATGTATGTTGACAACGAGTAAGGGGTGTACATGCAAATCCTGCAATCGACCGAAATCTGCACGACAGTTTACAAACCGGATTTCGACTTTCGGTGCGCGATTTTGATTATGCATAGACTCGTTAGTCCAGCCAAACCGTAACTCCATAATCTGATAATGACAGCCTAGTTCGGCAAGGGTGGAAACTTGACTTTTTTACTCAGTTTACTCTCTTGCCTCGGGAAGATGGCATATCTGATGCCCTGATGTAAAGACGTTTACACAAACTGAAACAGCTACAATGCGTAATTACATTATTGTTAAACTAGTCTTTTCGAAATGATTCATGCATATTTCTACACAGGCAACTCAAAATCAATTTAGCTGATCTGGAGCTCTGTACGAAATTACTTTATCATGTTTGTAGCTAAAATGGATAGAATTATCATTAAACTGCCCGCATGTTATCAGAAATGAGCTGGCCACTGCCCTCATATTGCTTGACGATGGGCTATTATCATGCCCGTTGTTAGGTGACGTCATAGGATAGGGATAGGTGACGTCACATTCAAAAGTGATGTCATCTGGTTTGTTCTCTGATGTTGCCATATTTGTAAAAGTGGGTCAGTGACATTCGTGTTTATTGCAGTAAATGTTTCAAAACCAATATTGTTTTGTTTTTTTATTTGATAACAAATTCTATTATTCTAGCTATAATAAGGGTATATTACAAGGGTAACGCTATTTTTCAGGGCATTATCATTTGCAGAAGCCCCTCGGTCTTTTCAACTGCTCTCCTTCATCAGGCAGTTATTGGAAGACCTCGGACTTCTGCAAATGATAATGCCCTGAAAAATAGCGTTACCCTTATAATATATATCAATCTGAGAAGGATTATCGTATATTGGTGTGTATAAGGTCAGCATTTCGTACATAGAATTCGGGGGCTTTCAAGAGTTTTGATGTTTTTCCCCCAACACAGACATTACTATGAGCACATAACACCGGAAATACTGAATCTGTACTGAATATGCAAACTAATCATGTAATTACAGTCTCTGGTTATAAAAAGTGTTCATTGTATATCTGGACTTATGTTTATCTATGTTATTAATTTTATTCAAAATTTCATTCAATGTTGTTTACATTAATTTCGACGAAATCTTGTGTGAAGCGATCGGTTGATTGAACAACTCACTGTTATTTAAAGCAACCACGGTCAGATTTCGCTATTGATGCCTTGAAACAAACTTTAGTGGATAGAGAATGGATATATATATCATAAATGTCATACATTGACTCATTGATAGCCATATCTATTGTCGTTTGACTTTTTAATTAATTAAAAATTTCACACAAACAAGTGAAATACAAAAGTTGAAATGTTTACGTTGTCACTGCATGGTGATGTGGCTGTGCTCTCATCGCCATTACGTCATGGGTTAGAAAACAATACCAAGCCATCGATATTGAATTCAGAAGCATTGTCTGTGATAGTGTCATTGCAAGAAAAACAAAACTATTGGGAGAGCTTGTTACAGACCCTCTCTAATGATCATTATTGTTATAGAAGTGAGAGTCAATTTGACTTTCTGAAATAGTACTAGAAGCAGTACATAGCACACGTAGAACTTGGAGTGTAGTCATAACTTGGAAATTGCCAGAACCACTGAGTCAGCCTGCAGTTATGATGTAAAAGATTCAACTGTGACCAGCAGATCAACAGATATTAATTTAACAGGACTGGTCATGTGGAATGTTATAAAACACTGATGCTCTAACTATGAGGTTTCCATGGCCGGTGATGGACATTATCCCAAATGTGTCAACACTGACCCCGCATCAGACACTAGCCCACACATAGTGATTTCATCTCACCCCAACCATTACAGGCGTAAACATCACGCTTCACTGTAACCATGGAAGTTCCCGCCAACAAAATCACACTGCCCAAATTGATTCAAACATATACAGTGTTCCAGTTTACCAGTAATTACCAGATTTTTACAGTTAGAATTTGGCTTGGACCGGTAATTCATGTGACTGCCAGTCCCTGTGGACAGGCTTGTACCTTATCAATCTTTGTTCTTGAACAAAAGATCAGAGATAATCACTAAAGTACATTTTCAAACAGAGTCGGCATGTCTTATACCATCAGGGTTTACCATTGTCTATTTTTAGTGCAAGGATATAACATTTCACTTCGCTTAGATGTTATATATCTATTTTAGAGACATAGTCTCAAACCAAAGTGAAAATGTTGAACCTGGTGTTAAAAGAATTACAAGTAGGTAGTTTTCATACATTTTCTTATTTGTTCAAACATAGGACTGACAAATAATTGAGGGGACTGGTAATTTTTGGAGTTGCCAGTCCATGGGGACTGGCAGTTTCCAAAGCCAGCGGGAACACTGATATATTTCAGAAACTGTAATTTAATTTTCCACCCAAAAAAGACATCGGAGAAGAAAGGTTTGACATTTGTGTGACACTAAAACACAGATGGACCACACCTGCCTCGATGACAACCTTCCCCCCGCAGAGTGAAGCCAGGCGGGTGACACACTTCTTTACACAACAACATCAATGTCGCACTCACAAATACACAGCTTAAATATAAGGGTGGAACTGCCAATACTGTTTCAGCAATTCAATATAGCATTCAGTCCATCTATCCATCTCAGTATTCCAGCTGGCTTTTAAAATGCCAGTCCCAGTTGGCTGGCAAATCTAACAAATACCAGTTCCTCCAATTTTTTCAGTCTCAGCTTTGAACAAATAAAGAAACGTATGAATATTGCCTGGTTTTAATTCTTTCAACATCATGCTTAAGTCAGAGTAAGTTCACTACGGACAAATTCAATGAAGTCACCACTGACATGTCTGAAGTAACTTAGATGTACATGTCATTCACACAAAAGTCCAATCATAATTTTCTCCTTTTTTTCAGTATAACTTTTGTTCAAGACTAAATCACTGCAAATAGATATTTAACCTCAAAGCACAGCTCAAATGTTATTTCCTGAACTAAAAATAGACAACGGGAAACCATGATGATAACAGACAAGCTGACTTATAAGGTGCCTTATCTGCCAGTCTACAGGAACTTCCCAAGGTAAGGTGTTAACTAACCATAACCATGATAAAAGTCCAGTTTCCAACCTTGCCAAACTAGGCTGGAATTTCCAGGCTCGATAGTAGCACTGTCAGAGGCTATTACGAGTTATGTCCCTGCTATTGACCAATCAGATTCAATCTCTCATATCACTTGCATTTGCTTCCAACAAAATGATGGTGTCAAGACAATCTGATCGATAATCAAGATCTATATTGTTATAAAACCGGTCTTACTCCGTGAAGTGCATCAAATCACGAAAGCACCTTGATTAAAAACATGATTAGATTTGCAAAAACATCTTTCAACACAGTTTGACACTTTTCAAATCTTTCAGTCCACCAAAAACTGCACGTTGAAATCCATGTTGTTTATGAATCAGATGTCTGGTTCGTTGCATGATTTTGATTGGACTATGCATTGACTCGTAAGACAAGCCAAAATGTAACCCCCCAATTTGATCCTAGTTCAGCGAGGGACTTTTATAGTCAGTTAACTCCCTTGCAGCAGTAGAAACTAACATTTTTAGTTCACTAGTATTTATAATGATAACATATAACAAAACCCTTAATAATGGCAAATTTCTACTGGTTGTTATGATACCTAAGTATTGGGCAGTTTGGAAGGACTACACTACAGGACTAGTGCCAATTTCTAACGTTGACTTGCCTCGGGAAGATGGTACACAGGGACTATCAGTCACCTGAATTACTGGTAAACGGGAATGCTGCATCTTTGCCACGTTTATACTGTATCAGTATCAAATTTCAGTTTGATGGTACAGCATTGTATTGTGGTGCTAATAACATCAATTAGAAGT